ACTGGCCATGCAGAGAGGTATCAATTCAGAGAAACAATCTAACTAAAATGAAACTGGGTCTCACAACACAGAACCAGTAAAAACTAAAATGGTCTGATGCTGACCACTAAGAGCTGGATCAGTTTACTGCAGAATCTACGTTACTTGGGACTGTGTGCTGTACATGCATTTCATGCAAAATGTGATATTTAGCTGTACCAAGAGTAAAAGAGACAATCTTTGATTGTACAATGTGAAACAAAAAGGTATGAATTAAATGATTGGCTTCCTGTGTACTTATGGCACTACCCTGCCATTTGTCCTCTGTTTATGATAAATAAAAATGATTGTGTACATAATGCCACGTGATTAACACAAAATATTAGTTGCAATAATCTATAAGGAGTTTAAACATATAAAAGTCTGTTCAGTTGAAGGGAAAATTTGAACATGAAATAGTATGCAGAGTAAGTTTCTCTGACATTTATAGATCTGATATCAAATGTTACTTCATGCTATTCAGGAAAACTGGATAAAACTATTGTGCTAAAACATCAAATCTGTAATCATAAATTGTATTTTTAACAATGTACATAGAAAAATAAGCTGTTGATATTTTAGGGCAGTTTACAGTGGAGAACACAAGGCTTACTGAGAGCTGCCTGTGAGAATGCTGAGACATTATAGGGCCATTTGGAATCCCTGTGGATGAGGGGGAGGACAGCTCAGAATCATCAATGCTCAAAGAAACTGAAGAGGTTCTGAGCACAGTGAAGCTCAATGGAGATCATGGGATGGAACTGGTCCACTGCGAGTTTGCTTGTCACATGAGTGAATTAATGAGTTCAGTTTTACGCAGCTTTTAGCAATATTCCAGCAATATCACAGCAGGGGAGACCAGAAATGGGCTTCACACATTGTGCCCATGTGGAGACACTCATTGTGCCCATGTGGAGACACTCATTGTACCCATGTGGGGAATTGAACCCAGGTTTTCGTCATGACGAGCGAACGCTTTAACCACCAGGCTACCCCACCGCCCACTTGTCACATGAGTGAGTTTAGTTTTACACAGCTTTTAGCAATATTCCAGCAATATCACTGCGGGGGAGACCAGAAATGGGCTTCACACATTGTGCCCATGTGGGGAATCGAACCCGGGGTCTTTGTTTTGATGAGCGAACCCTTTAACCACTAGGCCCCTCGTCACATGAGGTAACAAGAAGGATCAGGTGTTAGGATCCTTGTCCACAACATCAACCGCTGCATGATCTGATCTTTATGTTTGATATGTAACCATGTCATTGTTTATTCACAAAACATTTCAGAACAGTGACACATAATGCATAAATTCTTGCATAAATAATAAAACACATCAATAATCAGCTGTAATCAATCACTAGAGCTGAAGTCTAACACATGTGGGAACTGTTTCCGGAATACCAACATTCCTTGACCCTTGACTCACAGCCAGCTGGGGACCAGTTCCGGTCTGGAAACCCTGTAGGCTACAACAGCACCTGTTTACACAAAGTTTTTCATTTTGTCTTGGGATTTCAAACCAGACATTCACTGAGGGAACTGACTGACTGAGTTTAGTTTTATGCCACTTTTAGCAATATTCCAGCAATATCACGGTGGAGCACACCAGAAATGGGCTTCACACTTTGTGCCGATGTGGAGAATCGAACCTGGGTCTTCGGTGTGATGAGCCAACGTTTTAACCACTAGGCTACCCCACCGCCCTTCAAATAAGACTGAGGGGAATACATGTAGATAGCAACATCATCAATTTTGTGATATGAAATCAATAAAAGCATGAATATGTAAAAATAAATTATCTAGTTGGCCGGTACAATGTTGTACAATTGTCAGGTACAGCAATAAAGAAAAAACTAAGTTTTAACTTAAATGAAACTAGAAGTTTGTTCTTACATTTTTTAAAACCAATTCTACACCACAGTTGCTTCTTCGGCAAAATCTAGCATCACAGTAGATATTATCATTGACAGAATCTGAGGATATACTGTTAGTTTTGAATGACAAGCCCCTTTGAGCTACGCTGTTGCGTTATCTGTGAAAACAATGTGTAAAACACACAAAATAGGCACAAAAGGACTGTGATGTACATGTCTGTACTGAACATGTACGTCTAAATAGATTATCCACGGATTGGTCTGATCTGAAAATGAGTCATTTATGGGAACAGGTTGGTTAACAAAGAATATAGAACATTGGAAATATAGTGAAATAAAACACTTATGTTTGCATGGAAATATAGTGAAATATAACACTGTTTATATGGAAATACACCTTTATAACACCAATGTTTACATCAAGTTACAATCCATAACACCTGCACCAAAAACAAACCTTGTAAATAATAAGAAAACCTGAATGGTCTAGATCACAAACAGACTGTGATGAGAGGGGAGAGGTAGGTGGGAATTTGTGGTGTAATTAGGGCTGGAAAATTAGAAATAGTCAATGATTTGAAATATCTGTTATCATTAAAAATATCCTTGATGATAATTACAAATAATCTTGATGATAATAGAAATAACCTCGATAATAATTAGAGATATCCTTGATAATTAGAAATATCAATGATAATTAGAAATATCTTTGACGATAATTAGAAATATCTGTGGCGATAATTAGAAATATCCTTAATAATTAAAAATACATGTATTCTTGATAATTACAAAAATCCTAGATGATAATTAGAAATATCTGTGATGCGAAAAATTATCAGCGATTATCGAAATGAAGGTTGTGTCATCGATAATATCTCACATTAACTATTGTGATGAAATAAAATTTCAATTTACACAGTACACAAAGTTATGTCTTCATTAATAGCCTGCTTCTAAATAATGTTCAGGATCCTGTTATTGTTGGTAATCCATGCATAAATAGGTCACAGCACACGAGTGAGTGTGTCGATTTCAATCAGACTTTTAAGCATTTTCTTTCTTCTCCAACAATAATCAATTGATAATTAGTTTAAGATTATTGATATTTATCATCCATATTGACAGCCAGCCCTGGAGGGAATATTGTCTTAATACATAGGACCTGAATAAAAATTTATCACAGCTGCTATTTTTCTATGAAGCAACACAACACAAACATACACAGGAACACAAAACACTACTATCATCATAATCACTTCTATAATGATAATGATGATCATCACCCTTCAATTTATCAACCCGCCAGCACACAGACAGCACCAAGCCCTGTTTTGACTTGAGACATTACCAATCAACAACCAGCCTCTCCTTAGAAGGCACAATGTCACGTCACATTTGTCTAAAAATACAGAATGCATTTCTCTCAATAATAGAACTATCAGCCCTCAGGGAAGCTACCATATAATTTATTCCCAAAATAATTACGTATTTAGATTATAATATTAAATTAAAAGTTCGAATGAATTAATGCAATCGTTTACATTCCATATCTGGCAAGTGTTATCTGTTTGAAAGCTGTGCGCCTCGAAGTTTCAATTATCAATTTCAGGCAAGTCGTAAGGGATAATAAGTTTTTTATTGTATCAATAAGGAGGCTAAAGTGAGTGCACATGCCCCAATATATATATATATATGTATTATAGACCAAAATGTTGTCGAAAAAGCGTGACATTGTGCCTTTAAGGTATTGCATCTCTGTCTTTGGCTTGTATTGTACAGTGCCATCCCCATATCCAGCGCTCGTCCATTAGTTGGACAGACATTTGTATCTTCTCTGAGTGGCATTTAAGAAGTTGGGAAGTACAATATTGATCAAACATTATGGATAACACATTCCTGCTTGGCAACGTACAAGAATCTGTATTGAAAGTCGCACTCACGAAATAAAAGAAGTTGCTGTCTATAAAGTTTGTTCAATTTGGCATTTATATGATGGACTGGTATACAGGGTTGTGTGTACCAGGACGTTATAACAGTGAGGGTATAAATTGTGAATACTTAGAGAGGTCCCTAACAAGGTGAGCTACTGGCAAACAAGGATAAGTTGAGCACCGACCTGACAATTGACCCGTATTGGCATGTATGAGTGCCACCCACTGGCGCTTGCCATTGTTAGCGAAGGGGCCCCAGGTTGTCCGCGATCAAGTGTAGTGCGACTTGACGTGAGAGTCTTATGAGCAAGGCGTGTGCAAGCTACACACTGAATTAATGTCATCGTCATGCAATGCAATGCATGTGCACTAGCCTACATCTGCTGTATCTTTCACAAACCATATGGGTTTGCTCATTGCCGTGCACCGCCTACTTTCGTAAACACGTTCTCAGCGCCGATCCAACTTATCCTTGTTTGCCAGTAAGAACCTGCGCTAAAGAGGCATGACACATTATATGATTGACACTGTCCAGATCTATAACCAATCAAAAATAACGAGAAGTAAAATGCAAGGAATTAAAACTACATCTCATGGGTTTTTGCCAGAACCAAACAATTTACAATTCTACCCATTTTGTTCCAATATTTATACCAGGGAATATATGCACTGTATATGTAAATACATTTATATATCAAATATGATATTTCAATATGGTATGTTTGATACATAATTCTTGCATCACACACTTGATATAACTCATACATATTTCCAAATTTATATTATTCCAGTGGATATATTTCTGCTATTTCCAAATCATCTGTACAGTATCATCTGATATTATATTGGATAAGTATCATTCTTACAGTACCATATATATGTGCCATTCACATAAGACCAATGAACCTTCAGTTAATATTCCACAAAGATCAGTTAACCCATATCAATTGCAACATCTTATACTATTCGATTTTACACAGCATCAATTCAACAACTGATTGAAAAAACACAAGAGTCACCATTTTACCACCATGAATTCATGGTTATGAAGAAACACAGTGTAGACATCTTGGATCAAACTTAGCCTTAGCCTGACGGACCACTTCCGTGTAAGATGAAGGTATTGAAGGGTTGGCAGATTATCAAACATTTTGGATGGTATTGTAATATCATATCATTCCTGGCGATGCGTCATGGACAAAGAAATTATGGACAGCCAATGTCCTACAGTGTCCCCAAGAGTTAAAGGTGTCATATTTCCATTCCATTCTGATAGATACATGGACAAATTCAACATCATTCATAGCTACAATGGATAAACTATAAAACCGTAAGCCTGTGACTGTTGTCATAACTACTAGACTTGACCCCTTGACTTTCAAGCTTATTCTGCTTAAACCACTTACTATGAAACTGTGTACCACAAACAATAAGATTAAAAGTGTTGACGGCAGAAGATGTATATCCTAATAATTATTAGCACTTGCCCTATCACATAGACGATGGAATCATAGATAGGTCTACATTGTTGGAGATAAATACTAAACGGAGTTATGGTAGATCAAGAAGGTTCCGATCTGCATATAACTCCTGTGTTTCAGTGTATAAATCATTGGTCAATGAAATGATCTCTTTCAGCACAGCCTGAGCTCGTTCCTCCTCCGGCAACTGCATCCGCTGCAGCAGCTGAGTCCTGCCTGGCAACGTGTAGAAGGAGATGTGCACGCCGCCTTTACGGATGAGCCATGGATGGTATTTAGCGAGTGTTCGATTATAAGCTTGCAAGGAGACTGTGGCCATCTTGGTGTCTTTATCCCCCTTGCATATCTCTTCTAGAAACTGCACAATGAATTCCAGGGCTCGATGTAATCGCAGGAGGGTGCGAGATCCTGACGCCTTGTCTTTTCTCGCCGTCAGATCATTCTTGACCTCGTAGTCTAGCATGGACTTGATAGTGTCAAAGTTCTCAGCTTGTCCTGAGCTCCGATATGCTCGAAGAATCTCTACCTTGCTGCTTACATCAGAGTTGACGAAACCAAAAACACTCCCAAATAGAATCAGAAGTCTGAAACAATAAGAATGAGTGACTAGAAATACCATGATCACCTTGACAATAAACAGTTGCTGTGATCTTTAAAAAAACGTGATTGACATTAGCAGTACATTTTGAACATGTCTGTTAAATCAAGTACCTTAGAAATAAGATTCTAATGTTTTTCAAATACTGGTATACATAAATCCCCAGTGGTCCCAGATTGTATTATTCACTCACTCATTTCAGAGTAATACGGTCATTGACACTCACCCATTGGCCCAGATTTGATTATTCAAATGTCGTTCACACACATGACACATGAAGATCCGGGTTAGAATTGATCTTCAGTAACCCATGCTTGTCGTAAGAGGCGACTAACAAGATCAGGTGGTCAGGCTCGCTGACTTGGTTGACAAATGTCATCATATCCCAAATGTGAAGATCAATACTCATGATGTTGATCACTGGATTGTCTGGTCCTGACTCAATTATTTACAGACTGATGCCATATAGCTGGTATAATTGCTGAGTGCGACGTAAGACAAAACTCACTCGCAAATTCCCTAACTCCCAACAAACCGTTTGGTTTATGAAAGGATGTTTGATTGGCAAGTGGGGCCCAACCCATATGTTTCTTCTGCAGATAATTTACTGATAAACAGAGGTAACACAACGTGTTTCGACCAAAGATCTATATATTGTAATTAATTTTTGGGCTTTTAGTTATTTTTCTTTAGTTCTCCAGTAATTGTTGTGTTACGTTTTGTTAACAAGTTTACCATATATTAATCTATAAATATTATTTGGGATGGGGGAACGACCATGATCATAAAGGTTCGTGTATCAGTGAAGCGGCAGGGAATGATTTGTTCTGTAACAATGTTCCCGATAAACTGCAGTCTTGACAAAGCATTTTGGCTCAAAATCAGAAGTCCAACTTTAAACTCAATTGTATTTAATTCTAAAGTCTATAAAATTCCATTTTTGTTACTAATGAATAACGAGTACCACCCTGTTCAAGTAAAATTCTCGATTACATTCTTAAAACAGCAGTAAGGGTGATCGAAAACCGGACGTTCATACGCTACCGTCTGGTGTGCTGATCACAAAAAGACAGTGGTTAAATTATAAATATTCATACTTTCCCAGTTCCTCGTATGCGTCAACATACATGTCCATTAGGATTTCGTTCTTCTCTCCTCGACATGTTCTCAAAAGTGACAAAAGTTTCTCAACGTTGAAGGCTTCCGCAGCTGCCATATTGCCCAGTAAACTCCTCACAGCGAAGATAAACACATCGACCCTGCATGGAGTAGAACGCAAGACTTGATGCAAGTCTCGTCTTGTCGGATGACAATCGTCAAACGTCATGTCTGAATGTTTCGAATCTACAAGCACACGGGTTTACACAAATAAACTAAGATGTATGGATCATAGAAATAATATGCATGCATTTGTGTACTTATAGCATTGTGTTTGTAGGTAAGATGTTGTTGTGTTGCATTATTATGTATGTAGTTACGTATAAATCCCCGAATTCCTGTCTGTACTTTAATAGCTTTGGTTCTCTTATCAGCTTATGTGGTACTTCAGCAGTTCTTTTGGGGACTGGTTAGTCATTGTGTGTTTGCGTGGGAGATCAGTATATTTCACTGATCCCACCATGTCCTATTATATAACAATTTTCATGACAACCCTACAGTTAAGGATTTTTACAAGACATGCTTACTTTGTACGTAAATTTTAGGGAGGGGTCATTCACATTGTACATGCCATAGGCGGATCCAGAGGGGGGTGCAGGGGTTCGCACCCCCCCCCCCCCCTTGTGCTGAAGGTTTGTTAAATGACCATTGAAACTCGGGTGAAAATGAAGTGTGCACCCCTCGTTTTCTCAATAGTGTGCACCCCAACCCCCTTTCTCAAAAAGCTGTATCCGCCCCTGTATGCTACTGCATAAATAATCATCATCCCCCCTCTCCCCTTGCCATATATTATGAACGGTCCCTAATTGATATTCAAATTTGTAATTGAAGAGATATAGTGCCATTTCCATTTCCCCTGCATCCTCCATCTGACCCGTGAAGTTCCAGGATAGGATTGATCTTCAGTAACCCATGCTTGTCGCAGGCGACTAACAGGATCGGGTGGTCAGGCTCGCTGACTTGGTTGACACATGTCATCGTATCCCGGTCATTCACACTCACCCACTGACCCAGATTTGATTATTCAAAGGTCGCTCGCTCACATACCCATACCATTTGGGATTCTGGGTAAGCTGTGGATTTGCTGTGCAGGTTGACACATGTCATCGTGTCCCAATTGCGTAGATCGATGCTCACGGTGTTGATCACTGGATTTTCTGGTTCGGAATGGATTATTTACAGACCGCCGCCATATAGCTGGGATATTGCTGAGTGCGGCGTTAAACCAACCAACCAACCAACCCCTTCTTAACCTCACCATAGGCGGATCCAGAGGGGGGTGCAGGGGTGCGCACCCCTCCTTTTGTCCTGAAAGTTTGTTCAATGACCACTGAAACCAGCGCACACGTGTAGGCACACACGCTGACTTACATTATCTTAGTTTATGTTTTGGGGACAGATCAAAGGCCTGAGATCTTCATGTTGGAAATGCCGCCCATACTTGTTCCAGTGAGTCGACTTTATTATCGCCCCTGATCACAACTGCCCCTCATGAAGAAGAATAAGATACACGTGTATTTTCATATATCTAATTTGTGTGCGCAGCTAGTATTCACATGATCATGAACGGTACGTATTGCGATACGCTGATCGAAAACCGGTATTTGGACTTGTATTCGGAAAACGTCGTAACACTCGGAAATCTTTGGATATTTCCTTGTTTTATTTGTGCCAAATATTATTCACATTTTTATTCTATCATGATTAAAATTTCTATTAGAGCTTAATCAAGCATATGGATTTTGTTGTGTTTTTGCTCTATAAATCAAGCAGTAACTCGATTATATGTAGTTTTTTGTTTAAAAATACTTCATGCAATATATTGCAATACATATCGCAATACATGCTTTCGCATCGCAATATATCGCAATATGAATATTCTCTGCAATACCCGCCCCTAGTATTCACTGCATGCTATATATTTCCTAGATGATACCATTATAATATTACAGTGACAAAAAAATATGAAAGTCCAGATTCTATTCACCTTACTCCGGCCGATGGAAGGTGTATACTCAATGTCCAAACGGGGTATAGAATGGTCACACTCAAAGTATCATTTTATCTTCCATGGTATCTATTCACTGCTGGGTGAACGGAGGCATATTTCGTACGAGAACGGATAGGAGCCCGAAATTATCACCCATCCACTACATTTATGGGGCCGGTGGGGTAGCCTTGTGGTTTAAAGCGCTCGTTCGGGTTCGATTACCCACATGGGTACAAAGTGTGGCTTTAATCACCTGGCTACCCCACCGCCCCGAATCACAGGCCCTGGTGTCTTTGCGAGGATTAATGATTAAAAAATATTGTTTTTGAGATGACCCCCGACTCGAAATGCTTCACTGTACATGCAATACAACATAATGTATTATGCTGTGAAGCATTTCGAGTCGGGGGTCATCTCAAATTTTTGCATATATTTTATAAAATCTTTAATCCTCGCAAAGACACGAGGGCCTGTGCCCCGAATACCATGAACAGTTAAACATCAGTTTACATAAAGAACTTTTTCTGAACAGTTTTGGACATTTTGTAGATATTCGAACTAATAACTTATTTAGGCACCTTTATAAATAACTTCAATTATATATTTATTTATTGTAGATCTGGTATAGAAACTCAACGTATAGCTCTCTCCATTTCATTTCTTTCTTTGTTTAAAGCGGAGACACTCCACCCATCGGCTTCATCCGGATAGCACCCGTGAAGATCCGAGTTAGAATTTGTCCTCAGCAACCCATGATTATCGTAAGAGGCGACTAACGGGATCGGGTGGTCAGGTTGACACGTGTCATCATATCCCAGTTGCGTAGATCGATGATCATGATCATGTTGATGTTGCTGGAATATTGCTGAGTGCGGCGTCAAACAACCAACAAACACAACATTTTAAGGGACCGTTCATAAATTATGGCTTGGGTGGTGGTGGTGTTGGGGTGTTGATGATGATTTTAAGGGGGGCACCCATTTTATTCTGGGAGCTAGAATTTTTACATGACATGCAGGGGGTCACTTATTTTGTACTTAAATTTTAGGGGGGTCAATCACATTGTACATCCTTCTGCATAAAAATCATCATCACCCCCTTAGCCATAAATTATGAACGGCCCCTTACCCCGGGAACACACACGAAGTCCATAATGGGGTTTTCCTAAATGATGTAAATAAGTGTGACAAAGCTGCGATTATTTTTCCGTACAGTCACGGGTGTAATTAAATTGCTACAATCTCTTTTGCATGAGGGGTTGCCTAGTGGTTAAAGCGTTCGCTCGTCACGCCGAAGCCCCGGGTTTGATTCCCCACACTCATGCCCATGCGCGCACACACGCACGCACGCATGCACATAGAGCTAGCACTAACACACACACCACACCACACCACATCACACTATATATGCGTGAAACCGTGATATTGCTGGAATATTGCTAACAGAGGGGCGTAAAACCCAATTCACTCACTCTTCCGAATGATTTTATTCAGGAGTAACCAATTTGTCTTGTGTTCAGGCGTACTGAGGACCCTCGGGTCACAACCGAAACGAATATCGAAATCTCACCCACAATCAGGAGATCCCGCAACTACCAAGGGGCGTGATCCGAGGGAATAAGTAAATGGAAACTGCAACTCAATTACAAAATTGATGTAACCCAAGTCGGGATACTGAAAAAAATATTTATTGTTCAATTATCCAACAAAACATTTGTGCGTATTAGAAGGCGCATAAGGAAGATATATGTCTCACACAAAATCCCGGTATAACTCGAACCGGTTAGTACTAATTTAACTGGTATTCAGTCTTAATGAGTATACTTATGACTATAAGGGCCAGAACCGCCCCTATTAGGTTACAACTTTTTTTAACCTAGGGACGTACGTCAAGGATTATAATCGAACCCTCCAGCACTGTACCCTTGGCAAGGGACGCAACTCTTCCCAGCAAACTGAGGCACCTTTGATATGTTGGATTTGCTTCATTGTGTTGAACAATAAATATACAGAGCTTCCAACCACAAGAGAGAGAGAAAGCTTGAGATGCCAGGGTCCCAAAGCCGCGTCTTGGTAATAGGGGGTTCAGGGGAGCAATTTTTCAAAAATAGCCATGCCTTTAAACATTTTGTCAGAAATTTCAAAATGGCGGATGTCGTACAAAAACACACAAGCAGGTGCATGGATTCTACTTTTGTTTAATGGTAATGGGACAAGTAGATTCTACGGTCTCAGTGTACTGTGTGCAACTATGGTGGAGAGTACATTAAGCATTGAATACACCATGCCTTGCGTCATTGAGAGAATATCTCTAACTGCAGTCACAGTGACTCTCTGGACAAAATGAGGGGACGTGAGCGCAATTCGTCTTACACCAACTCGTCATTCCGGGAACTAATGCCCACGCTCCTGTTGCTCGGCAACGGTCGTAGTTGATGTTGCTGGGAGCTGCCGTTGACGGTCCACAGTGGCAATAAGAAGACGGGCAGGACCCGAAGTTGCACATTGTCTGACACCAGTTTGTCATTCCGGGAACTGCTGCCCACGCTTCTGTTGCTCGGCAACTGTCGTTGTTGGTGTTGCTGGGAGCTGGCGTTGCTGGGGCAGCCGTTGCTGGTGCTGGCGATGTTGGTGCAGCCGTTGCTGGTGCAGCCGTTGCTGGTGCTGCTGTTGCTGGTGCTGGCGTTGCTGGTGCTGCAGTCGAAGGTTGCTGTGTCTGTGTCTGAGGCTGTCCGCTCCCCGTTATCGCAATGTCGGCACAGTTGACGAAGTGTTCTTGGGGACCCTTGCCTAAACCGCAGTCTGAACCGTCACATCCCCAGTTGTTGCCTAGCAAAGAAAAGATGAAAGTGTTCAGTGGGGCCAATTAAATGCATGTATCTTATCATATATTGAGAGCACCATGAGCAGTACTATACAGTTATACTGGAAAGAAAGGAATACTTTAGATTTAATTTACTATATTGGGATTATCCGCCATATTTACTTTTTTATCGTCGCAAATCGACTTCGGGTAGTCGTGGGGTAGCTCTTCACGCCGAAGACCCGGGTTCGATTCCCCATATAGGCACAATGCGTGAAGCCCATTTCTGGTGTCCCCTGCCGTGATATTGCTGGAATATTGCTAAAGGCGGCGTAAAACTAAACTGACTCACTCAGTGAAACATAATCCTTCAAACGTCAACTGGTTTCGTTCATAATCCGCGCTGCGTCATTATCAAAATATGAGAGAAGGGTATTAACATTCAATGTCACGGTCGTTTACTGAAAGACCCCATGAAATTTGAACTTCCTTCTGAAAGTTAAATGAACAACTTTTTGGTCATGTTACTTTGTAAAGGTAGATGAACACGAACAATGATCTCAGCAATCATTTCCTTTGATAATAAATGTCCTGATTCGATTTCTACCCTATCTGCCTTAGAGAGGAAGGTTTATGTCACGACTTTGACAGCTCACGTAATAAAAGGTTGAAATACCCTATACACATCGCTGGCTTGGTCTCATATTCAAGGGGAACAATAATTCTATATTTGCGTGACACGCATAGAGACCCAGTCGAGTGATAAGGTAGTTAGATAAGGCAGTTCTGGAATGAGGAAGACGGTGAAGGCAAGTAGTCACAGCAGCCAATGAACAACGACGTACACCCTGTTTTATTCTGTCTTAGTTTGAAGATTTACATGTCCTGTTCTGTTTTTCTTTTGTTTGTTTTTACAAATTCTGTGGAAAATTATTTTCCCTGCATTTCCAGTTTTGAAACCTTTTTACGACATTAAGTTTGTTTAATTCATATCACACAAAACGTCATTCCCAAATTCTCTCCTCTAATCATGACGTCATCGTATTGTGTACGCAGACTTCCCCAACGATGAAAGCTGATACAGTACAACCAGAAATTATTGAGAATTTAAAGATTGTATTTTTTTTTCACTCATTACTCACGTATTAAATGTGAATATTAGCAGAACATAACTCAAGATTCAAAGACAGGTGAACAGTTAGTATTTGGTCAAGTCACCATGGGCAGCAATGCAGGCTTCAATGCTAAAAGCGGCGTAAAACCAAACTCAGTCAGTCAGTCAGTCTTTCATTTCAGCAATATCTGTCAGATTTTTCTTATTGACACTTTCCTTCATAAGTCCCCAAACATTTTCTATTGGATTTAGGTCAGGGCTATAGCTTTGCCAATCTAATATTGTCCTATTTTGGGTCCAAAACCAGGCCTGTGAATGCTTTGAACGATGTTTTGGGTCGTTGTCCTGCTGGAAAATCAAAAAAATTCCATAGAACACGTGAGCAGATGGAAGTAAATGTCCCTCGAGAATATCTGTGTACCGCTCACTGTTCATATTCCCTTCAGATACACAGAGGGGCGTTGCCCCTAACACAGATATGCCACCCCACACATGAAATTTCGGACTGTACTTTGGGCGCTGATACAAAGGTTTTTCAGTTTGTTTTGTCCAAAATGTCAGTGTATTAGGAAACAGCCACACAGAACTTTCATCTGAGAAAATCACATTGTCCCAGTTAAAAGTTCTATGCTGTAAGCACCAGTTCAACCTTCGCTCCTTTTGTTCAGGTTTCATGATCGGTGATGGAATTCCTCGACGTTTCTGCCAACCCATTGCATGCAGCTCAGTTCTAATTGTCTCCTTACGGACAGTCACAGTTCCTCTATCAATCATATCCAGCCTTAAGTTTTCTAAACTCCTTCGTTTGTTTTTAGAAACAAGAATACCAAGCCGCCTCCTGTCACCGACAGTCAATTTTCTGGGCCTACCTGCGCCTCCCTGGTGCTCAATGCCATATCCATTTGCAATATTTTCAAAACACGATAAACAGTGGACAAAGGAATGCCTGTTCTGCTTGAAATCACTTTAGCTGATCTGATGTCCTTATCATAATACTCTAAAATCAAGTTCCTCTTCTCTAAATCATCCATACTGAGGATCACTGAAAATGTCGTCTGCTAGCAAGTAAACAAAGGGGGGAATAACTCTTCTCAAACTAATGAAAAAGGATTAACGGAGTTGTCTCTCTTGAATGAACCAAGCACTTGATAGCTGGTCAAGGTTGTTTATACTAGAAATCCAATTAAACATATTCCTAAAATTCTCAATAATTTCTGGTCATACTATAATACTTAAATTGTTACCCTGAAGGGATAGTCCGTTGGAAGTTGACAATACTCACACACACACACACACACACACACACGCACGCACGCACGCACGCTAGCACACGCACGCACGCACGCACACGCACGCACACGCACACGCACAAAATAATAATAAATAAAAAATAAAATAAAAAATCAATAAATCCCATGCACAGTAGTGTTAAACCTTAACCCACCTCGTATGTTTTTTAATCAACCTACCAGAATTCAGGTTACAGGCGGACCCGAACATCCTACATTATTTGTAACTGATCAAACAAACTCACCAGCCCGGTAATTCCACTGAAAGACACACTGAGTGCATGTGACGCCCGGGGGTAGTCGAACGTTCATCTTGAAGATCCCTGTCCCTGTCCCCAGCTTGTACTTGGTCGACACCAGCCCGTTATACTCCACTTGCAGTAGGTGTCCATCCAGGCAGGCCTGGGTCGCGGGGGTGTGGACATCGTTGTGTGGGCACAGTCGAAACTCAAAGTAGCCCATGTGGTTGGAGGTGATTTTCACCTCCACAGCCATCCGATCCCCTTCTTGGTAGGTTTTACTTATGATGCCAGTGGCGTACTTTCCGCCTGCCTCGTTGTCCTTGATGGTGGCGTCCCAAGGGTCGCCGCATATGCCGCACCTGCCGTTGTTTCTTTTGTGCTGTACCTGGAAGGAGGACGTTGCTTATGATATAAAATAATCCTAGGATTAAAAACATGAAAGCACGCAAGCACACACACCCACACACACACAATATCAGTCTGACCTTTGCACCAATTGCGTAGGTCGATGCTCATGATGTTGATCACCGGTCCAGACTTGAATATTGCTGAGTCACGCGTTAAACAACAAACAAACAAAACATGAACTTTGCACTCCAGGCCACCTAATCTCGAAAGTGTCCCAGCTAAGACAGATCCTAAGTAGTTAAGACAGAAGTTAGGACATCCTACCGTTATGATAAGACCCATTCTTGAAACGATCCTTTCCCAGTCCTAACTTGTGCTGCCTATCCTAGCTAGGATAGCGAGGCTCTTCAGTAGGTGAGATAGAAAAACCCTCATTAAGTTGGGGATTCCCTAAATATCACCCATGATTCATTTTAATAAAAACACATAATATGAGGAAATTCAGCTTTTGATGGACTTAGTAGATCTAGAAGAAATTATTCGATATTTTCATCACAATATATATAAAGTAGTTTTGAAGTTCTTGAAAATTCATTTTTTGACAAGGCGATAACATTTCTACTTCAGAGTTTGAAAGTCTGCCAAAAAACAATAAGGATATTAAAGATATGTGCAAAAAATATTTTCATTGTATTTGTTTTTTATGAAAATCATCATTTGAACTCTCATTATGCATCATCTCACAAACTGAAAAATTCACCTAGGAAATAAACTGGATCGGAGTTACTTCCCCTATCAATTTAGCCTTGACATTGACATTTCACGGCAATGTGACTGGAAAGAGCAATGTTGTGATTAAAAGGGCCGAGAATAGGTAAGAACTGAACAAATCTCTTTTTTAGATCTAAAGAATATGTGCATCGCAACAAGTGTGTCTATTCATTACCGATAAATTGATAATATAAGCTAAAAAAACTCTTCGTAACACATCAAAACTGTGTGCTCTTGTAAATTCAAATGTAATTTAGGCGAGTATATTTTGTTTGACAACATCAAACTTGGTGAACAAACAAGAACCACACCATGTTGATTTCCACTAAGATAGACTTAGGACAAGTCAGAACCTATCCTAGTATTTGTCCTAAGTTAGGATATCCTAGCGCTAGGATACTTTTCGAGAATAAGGTAGGACACCTATCCTAGACCCTAGGATCAAAGTTAGATATCCTAGGGCTAGGATCCTTTCGAGAATAGGAGCTTTGCACTCCAGGCGATCACATGCATATAGGTGTGTTTCAATTTCAGCAGGAACACGTTCTTATCAACTCAACTTCTAAAACGCCCATCAAAGAAGCTTTATTATGGCCAAGACTGTCCTAAACTCAATCAAATAACCTTTTGTTTCACAATTGTAGTGAAATGAAGGCATTCCTGAATGGCTCTTCGTTCCACTACCCTGTACCCGTTCCAGTGAAGGTCCAGACTTTGCCTTTAGTCCCATGCGTGAAGTAGCGAGTGAGTGAGTTTAGTTTTACGGCGCACTCCGCAATATCACAGCTTTATGGCGGTGGTCTGCCATGCATAAAGTAAGACATATCAGTATGATTTCGGTCGTTATGAGCACCGTTGTGTCTGCGTTATCAGACAAACAAAAAATCTTGAGGGGGCGGTGGGGAAGTCTAGTGGTTAAAGCGTTCGCTCGTCACGCTGAAGGCCCGGTTTCGATTCCCCACATGGGTACAATGTGTGAAGCCCATTTCTGGTGTCCCCCGCCGTGATATTCCTGGAATATTGCTAAAGGCAGCGTAAACCCCACTCACTATCCCACTCACTCATTCTTCGTTTCAGGTTGAAACTGTGGCAGTCTGGACTTGCTACATATTCTAGACTTAAATGGGCTGTATTGGGTATATTCATTTCAGGGTCTGTATGACAGACTAACGCTATTTTGTCCGACTCGGTTACCTCTCCAATCTGAACAACACCAGTTTCGATCCCCGACCGCGTCATACCAAAAGACGTTAAAATATGGTACTTGTTGGTCCCTGCCTGGCGCTCGGCATTAATGGGTACAACAAGAACTGGTCGGCTCAGAGCCAGTATAATGTGTCTGAGTGGGGTATTCATGCTTCACAGCGGCATGGTATCTCAGTGGGCTAGCACTATAAAACCAGCTTAAGTCTGGGCTAGTACAAGCAGCCGCACATACACATACACACGTATGCACGTCGTCATATGAGCGAAATATTCTCAAGCACCGCATTAAACCCAATTTCACCTCACCTCACCTCACCTCACCTCACCTCACCTCACCTCACCTCACCAATAACAAGCTTCAAAACAACAGAAGTTACTGACCCCCACTCAAGTCGGTCAAGCAAGGACGGTTTATGTTTCATGGCGGCTTTAGTCGAACAAAGATTACACAATGACTTTATTGTCCTTGACAGTAAACACAAGTTTCTCCCAAAATAGCGGACGGGATATGATGATGTCTTAGGGAAGAATACCCTCAGGATATTGGTAGTGTCAGGACATTTAATTAAATTCTTCACTTTTTTTGTTCACCAGTTCAAATTCTTTATCAATCTAACGGTGATGGGCTGTCTAAAATACACAGAAACTATTCCCCTGTTGTTCATATGGTATTAACTACAAGGAAACGGTGGGGTAGTCTAGTGGTTAAAATGTTCACTCGTCACGCCGAAGAACCGGGTTCGATTCCCCACAAGGGTACAGCGTGTGAATCCAATTTCTGGTGTCCCCCGCAGCCCCCCCAAAACAATAGAGATATTTGCCTCATGTTGAGATCGCGTACAGACAGAAATGTGTGTCATGCTAACTTCCACGAAACTTCGTCGCAGTCGAAGCGCATTTGAACGCCCGCAGGAAGTGGATCAGAGCTCTGCATGTCACAACCAGGAGCCTCGGAATATACTTGAGCACTGATTAGCCAGTTAAAAATATTTTTCTTTGTCAATGAATTCCAGACATGTGGATACATTGTGGCAATACACTGTCGTTCCATTGTTTTGCAGGATATGAGCTCATGATAAACTACGCGATGCTCTGTTTCATTCGTCACCACTCGCCCCTTTCCGCTTGTCCCGGAATAACACGAGTTAGTCACGAATGGCTCTGTTTTGCATTGTAACATGGCAGTGGTACTGTCAGTGATCCGAGTGGTCGCAGATCAGCCAATGGGGCTATTCTACGTAATACAATGGTTATAGACCTGGTGAAAATTAGTCATACCGGAGAAATATTATTATGATAACCATTCTGGACTAACCTTATGTTGAACATGTGTTCAGTACAGCAACACACGTCTTGTGGGGTAAATGTAACGGAAATAACAAATATGAATTTATATTTTTCCAAGGAACTGGAAAGCAAACAGATCATAGTGCGTGCCTGCCTGCTTCGTGCTGTTTTGTCAGCTTGTCTCCCACAATGCTAGCCTACTGAAAGAGTGAGTGAGTTCAGTTTACGCCGCTTTTAAAACGGCGGGGGACACCAGAAATGGGCTTCACACATTGTACTTTAGCCCACTGAAAGAAAAACGAACATGCCACGGCTTTTTGACATGGATACCCTAACCAAACACAGTATACTGTCTGGGTGTACCAATTCTTGTATTACAATATTCGCATTGGACAATTGGACATTTTACCATAAAAGGTCCCAAAATTCGTTTTAGCCTTGAAAAGGTCCTAATATTGCCAGTGATTTGCACTAAAAGGACCTATGTTTGAGAGTGAGAGTGGGTGTTATGTAATCTCCAATGCGAAACAAACCTTTCCCAGGGCAGCGATGTAGCTAAGAGTTTTCACTTTCATGGTCGGTCCTACATTTTACCCATCTGTGTGTTTGGAACTAATTTTGTGTTAGATGTTTCTATAGTTTCTTATAGTTGTTGATTCGTCCTTGAAAAACCCTAGAAAGGCCTTAAATTTGATGGCTGACAGTCTGTACGAACCCTGTTTAATTTCCTTAATGATGAGCGCCAGCCAGGGTAACAACAAGTACCATTTTAACCTGTTTTGAATTGCGCGATGGTGGCTCGACAAACCCAATTGCCTATCCAGACGCTTTATCCATGACACTAGGAAAGCAAACGGTTTAGTCTCTATTCGCCTACATCTCAATTCGCCTACATCCCATTTCGCATACAAAACCAATGTAGGCTAATTGGGATTAGAAAATGCACCCCTACTCTTATAATGAACCTAGCTCATATCCTTGTTATAAGGATGTGTAGTTGAGTAAAGTAGATTAGTCCATCCACTAAGAGGTTAAAACAGGGTTAAAACCGATGATTGTAATATTAAGGCAGGCCAGATGTACTGACAGAAGTGTATGCAGTGGAATCTGTCAAATCCGGACTCTTTGTAAACCGGGCGGTGGGGTAGCCAAGTGGTATTAAGCGTTCGCTAGTCACGCCGGAGACCCGGGTTCGAGTTCCCGCATGGGTACAATGTGTGAAGCCCATTCTGGTGCCCCGCCGTGGTATTGCTGGAATATTGCTAAAAGCGGCGTAAAACTACATTCACTCACTCTTTGTAAACCGGTTTTCTCCATAATCCGAACTACTCTCGGAGTCCCGGCGAAATTCTTTTTAATTTATCATTAAAGCTTGCTTTCTGATCCGGACTCTCTCAATTGCGGATTGCGGACTAAAATAACGGTTCCGACAATCAACTTGCTATGAGTCCGTAATAGACAGATTCCACTGTACATTGTCCGACTGACCCAGAAAGCTCCCGGGCATTGGGTTCAAAGCATCACTCAGCATAAGTTACACCCTACCGTGAGTTAAACCCGTATGACGATACAGGCGATTGGAACCATATTGTCACTATGGCAGTAGTGCTATAAGTCGTTAGTATGCAATACATTGAGGTATTCGGTATAAAGACATATTTTTCATGGTCCCTGGCCGCGAGTGTTTGTTCAAGGGAGACAATCGGAATGGGGTCAGTGAAGGGTGAGGATTCGTGTGCTGTCTTTTCCCATACACCCCGATAATCCCCGAAA